AAGTATAGCATGTATTCTCAACATCTGAATCTGAAAAAGATTCAAAACTAAATTATGCTTGCGTCACTAATTTAGATTTAGCAATGGAGTCGACGCACTTTGTCTTGGATAAAGTCAGTTAAAGTAAATCCTACCAATGAATAAATAAGAAACGGCACAATATTTTAATCAAGCATCAACCAAAAGTGAATGTATCTGGAACGTCGTCAAACGAGAGCTTATGTAATTAAAATTAATCAAACTGTTATTATAACATTTACATCTATGAGCATCGTGTTCCAGGATATAACTGAATGTCGATGTTTGTTTTTTTAAATACTAAGCTCCGTATTTATTATTTTGGTATCATTCTCATGCGTGTCTGTAGGATGCACAGAAGCACAATACTTTGCCAGATGTTCACAACAACTTAAATCTCGATAGGTAAAAGTTGGAGATTGGAAAATGTATAAATTTGGCTATTCATGACAAACCGATGCGATATTATCTACATTGACAAGCTTTAAATTTGTCTCTAAATCTTGCTTTATTTGTTGCGTTTGTGTGTTACTTTAGACGCCTCATAAGTTAGTGTTATAATGATTTAGTAAACCAAATATGCTATTTTTTTTTTTTTTTTTTTTTCAAGTTTCCGTTACTCCGTATAGTGTAGGCAACCGCATGCACAATTGAGGATACTTATGCAAATGTGACCAAGGTCGATTTGACGAGTGGTTCTCTAAGGCCACTTGCATTAGCCACTTTGGAAGTACCTCGCTCTTTTAATGTCTTAAATGTGTGCGAAACTTCCTGTTTATCTCTTGGATTTTCCCTTGTTCCAAAAAAGATTCAAGGTTCATATTCTTCCTTTTTCGTTTTTTGTTTTTGTCTTCTTTCTGTATTTCACGTATTGATGAATTAGTTAATATATTTTAGTTTTTCTTAAACAATAGTACATTTTAAAACTAGCCGTATACTCACGATTTGCCCTCGTAAATTAAAGCCTATGTCAGTAAAGTGTGATGTAACTTCTCGGAGGTAAAGAAATTTCGTGATCGGACTAGTATTTCCGAAGATTTGAATAACAAAAACTTTTTTATAACATTAGTGTAGATTTGTAATAGCAATGTCTTATTCATTCCGGTTTTATCTTTCCATTGAAATTATTTTCCTTATTATTAACATTAATTTGACTTCTAAAAGTAATAAAAACGTAAACGTAGCATTTTAGATAAATACTCTGCATTTCAACCGTCTGGGCTAATCAACCTACTACGCTGTTATTCTAATAATTCAGTAAATAGTGAAATTGTCTTCCGTTTAAAACGACTTGAACTTACCATCAATGTAGCCACGTTTCTTGGTCAAATTCGTAATATGTATCACGATTCACTAAGCTGTTCCATTTATTTTGCATCGTTTAGCTCTCATCGCTAGCTCGGTGTGTTCATAGTTTGCTATTATCAAATGGAAGGTCGTCTATAGAATGTTTGCCGAGTCTAACGTACCGTTAAACCGCAAGTAATGTAGGCAGTGAAAAACAAAACAATTGAATCGTGTTTGTGGAAATGACTTTTGTTTTTTTTTCTTTATTATTTTATCAATCGACTGTTAGGGATGCAAAAGAGTATCTAACCGGACTTCATGTAAGTCTGTGATGTGCAAAAAGGTTTTATATTTTGTATAGGTATGTATTTTTATGTGTTTCATAAATCAAGTAGCGTGAACAGTCAAGGTCTATGGCAGATGCATCTTAAAAAAACGTGATGTACAACACGATTTGTGATATCAACAGATGTTAGCCTTGTGGAGCTATCGTCACTAGACTGCACGCACCGTTTTGGTAACTCTTGGTCTTGACTTTGTTTGTTAAATTAATATAAAAAAATTAGACGCTTAAAAATATTATTTGTGGAGATTTGTGAAGGTTAAGATTAAGACTGAAATGATTGACTGTAATAAAAATGTTCACAATGTAAAAATACATCGTAAAGTTAAATAGGTATATCTAATTATAAATAATAGATTGCAGAAAAATCAATGTCATCATTAATTAGTATAAATAAACCTCGCTCGTCTGGTTGGATGATAACGCATTACATTGACAACTGTCCAAATTAGTACGGATACAAGTTTCAAGGTCTAAAAATAGATAAAATATATCAAATTCATTCATTCTTCTGTACTCAGTGATAAATAAAAAATATGTAGGTACTTGAATTGGTATCGTTAAATCAGAAGAACTAAACAAAGTGTTAGCCTAGAGTTCACCATTTTGTTTAAGATGTAAAACAAGATGGTCGGTAATATAACACTAGAGCGCGCAAATGCGTTTTGCATTTGCGGTCCCGGAATACGATATCTGACCTCTTTGCTTGAATTTCTATCAATTTCATACGATACGATAGTTGGCTGTGGCAATAGAACTAGATATTTCGTGTATGAGATATTGTGACATGTGTTGAATTTCCTCGAGGTAGAATTGCAGATATTAATGCTAATAAATAAAGCAAAATTGAGTAACATTTTTACACAAAAGAAATCCCACTCACTTGAAAAAACAGTCGTAAACGCTACCCATGAAAATATTGAAAGACAGGATACAGCTTTTCATTGGTTTTTCAGTGACGTTACGTATTTGTTAATCGGTTCTGGAAACAGGATTTCTTACCATTATTTTAGTATTTTTAATACTCAATATCGTAAGTCGAAATAGACACGCAATGAAGTGATGTATTGGTAAAGAAGTAATATGTTATTGTCAAATCATCTTTTGTGAATTTAAACTATAATTTTGGTAATAAAAGCACTTGAGATTTTTTTGTGAATTATACACTAAAATATTTACGCTGATCAAACATAAATTATACATGAAATTAAGCCGCATAGCAGCTAGTCAACCGCGCCGTGGCCGCATTATTCGCACCTACTATTCAGAAAGTGGAGCGAACATCCGCTAAATAGTTGATTTGCAATGTGATACCTCCTGTCGCTGTCACGGGTCCTGGTACTTCCTTGTAGAACACATAAATTCTTATTCTTTTTTCAAGTTGGATGTCTACAGAAAACATTGTTTATCTAATGAAATGGAAACTTCGTGTAAAGCAATTCATTGAATACAATGCCTCAATGAAATGAACACCGAATTAAAACTCATGAATGAAAATATTGATTGTTATAACGTCAACACTGATACATTAACAGGTCCCAATTACATAATAATATGCAGTGGCGGGGCAATGATCAAGGAGTTTGTAGTGTGTGTATGTTTATTTACCTAATAGGACATACTTATAACAAGTTGCTCATTGATTATTGTTTTATTATGATTAATATGAGCTATTTTTATACATATATGAGTTTATGTATTACTTGTAGATTTGATTTAATCAATATTTTTTTTTATTACTTTTGTCGGTTATTTATACATTTTTGTTAATAATATTTCTACAGTGACTGTATATATTTTCAGACAAAGAAAACGCTCTTTCGTAGTCTGAATCATCACTAAAAACAAGTTGTACTCAATCTGAACTATATTTGTGATATGCAAGCAATTTATTACGATTCCATCCAACCAACACATTGTTGCTGCTATTTACGTTTTAAAAAATATCTGCATATAATATATAGCCATTTCCCTTCGTTTTGAATATGGGCGTTGATACAGACGTTAGGAAATAAATTCCCGTTTTTAACTATGTTAACTGGTTAAAGTTAAATTCTTAACCTTCATTGACAGTGACATCTTGTTCAACTAAAGATACTAACGTACGACCTTCCACTGTTATTATTACTCAATACTTCCATTTATTCGAGTGTTTTTTGTACACACAGAAAATTAACAAGAGAAGATAGACAGAAAAGTTGTACAAGGGCGCTCTGTCACTTGTCAGGTGAAACTTAAAGCATTACTTATTGTTGACTCACTGTTGTTTTATTATAAACTGTCAATCTTTTCTGATTACATTACAATAGCATTTACGTGAAAATAAGCTTTATGTCCATTGTTCGTCGATATTTTTGAAGGGTCGTCAATCTGTTAATCCGATCGATTGGATGTGTTGTCACGTATCATTATTTTTTCCCAAGCAATACCCCGGTGTTTTACATACCTATGTATTACAACTGGTAATCGTTTTCTGGCATCATTGTATTCATCGTTTGCTACCTTGTATGTGCCTAGTTTTCAAGTGGATTTGTATAAATTGCCTAAGTCAAAAAGTTTGTAATATTTTTATGTTTGTCAACAACTTTTTAAATGAAATGTACAAAATCCGTATATTTAAAATTACAAAAATGTAACATACATAACATAATGACACACTACAAAATTAGGAAAGGTAGAAAATTTTGTGTTTAAACACAGTAATGATACAACTCACAATTTTACACTCTCGTTTTTTTTCACTCTCGTCCAAATCTTAACCAGCACTATGTTATTATGTTTGATGTCAAGCGTCATTCACATTACGTCTATTTCCGCTTAGGAACCTTTGACACCAAATATAAAATCATTTGGCAAAGATCAAGGCCTTTTACAATCTGTACAAGTCCATTCGTTTATATTGATAAATCATAGAAATAGTTGACCAATAGTATCAAAAGACGATATCTTTAAAAATATTGAAGATAAGTTGACAAAAAATTGATATAAGTTATTATCTACTATTGTCTCTAGTAAGGAGGTCGAAGATATGTAACTGGCCGTTTTTGCCACCTGTTCATATAAAAATGACGTTATGTTTATATTTCCAGTAGATAACTGTGTGGTCGTCAGACAAATGTGATTTTATACAAGTGTAGTGTGTTATTTAAACTTATTTATTATTAATTAATAAGTGTAGATTTAAAGATGGAACGTTTTAAGTCGAACAAGTTTCGATGGTGTGCTTCCTTATCGTTGAACTAGTGCATATATAAATAATAGTTAGTGGTGCTAAAGTCTGATCTTGTTTAGACTGAGTTTGTGACTATTTTTTGTTAGTTTTTTTGTACGTTTCGGTGATCGGTGTGGAGTTATGTTGATCAATACGTTTTTGGACACGGAGGATTTCGTGCATTTATATTATCCGGAGGATGAGGCGCCTGCTCCCGCGCAGGGGTGTGGTGCCGGCGCTCGGATGGCGTCCAAGTATCCAGCGCGGCCGCCTTCACCTGAATACCCACAGGTTTGTTACAATTGCACAGTTTAAACTGTTACACGCCAGTCGGGAGACTGGTCATGTTTGCGAGTAATAAGAAACATAATAAGGATGATGACTACTGTTTGTTCGTTAGTCCTTCAGGTAGAATATTAAACACGGTTTTTTTAGCCAAGCTTCTAAGAATATACTAGAGTGGATGTTTAAGGTTGTATAAACGAAAATAGTTTATATAAATGTAACAGACAATCTCGAGGGCTTCCAATCTTCACTGTAGAGATAGAAATTAATATCAACCCTTCCCCTCCTTTTGAACTTGAAAGCAAAACCAAACAAGATTACCTTCACATATTATAATATTACAAGTAGCTGTCAACTTGGATAATATAACTATGTATAGGTTACTCATGTTTTAATAGTGGAGATATCAGAAAGAAAGAAATTATTTACTGTCCTTGTCTTTGCAAATTAAACAGTATTAAACTTTAAAGTACTTATTAATAAGCATTGTGTAAGCATTGCGTGGCTGTGTAGTTATACCACCTTTTGTATTTTTTATTAGAGCTGAAACTAGCATTGAAATGATTTGGATAACGTTATGTGTAACTAAAGAAAGGTTAGAAGATTTTTTATTTGTAAGGGCATTAGAGTACAGAAAGTCAATAATCATTGAGAGATATAATTTGTTGCTGCCTCAGACTAAGCTCGTATAGCTCTGTCTGAAGCAAATAATATAAACTGCAGCGCCAAACTCTCTTGTATATTTTGTCTCATATCATTAGAATCCTTATCTTGCGTTTATTGTTCTTTCTAGTCTTAGCACCGGTTATGGATGCTTATTTAATTTTATTGTTAACTGCGCTAGCAGTAAAACGTTTGAGTTAGATGGTAAAGATGGTTAGGTTATTGCAAGATTAATTAGTATATGTTATAAAGTCGATAAAAAGAGATAATGCGTAAAACCCGTATCAAAGATCTTACAAAACGACTATTTTATTAAGCGACTTAAAATTATGTAACATACCAAACTTAAAAAATGCAGGTAGATTATTTTATCCAACGTATAAACTTACAACATACCAAGCTTAAAAAATGCAGGTAGACTTTTTTCCAACGTATAAACTTGCTGTCTGCTCTGGATAAAATATAAACCAACTTTTTTTCCTAATTCATATTTGGTGATGTCACTATTATATAACTCGTATGTTCAACTGATTTTCTTGCCTTGAAGTATAATTATTATAGTGTCCCGCCGCCCCGCCTCCTCACAAATCCATTCATTGAGTTCAAAGGCCAAGTGTGTATGTGTCCGGTAGTTTGACTATACCTAGACGTATTTATGGAATGATTTACTATGTATGTACATACACGATCACTTGTGTGAGGATTTCGATGCAATGTTTAGAGCTTTAGGTCTATGATACGGGAGTTAAGCAACTTCCATTTAGGATGGGTAACCAAAAAATCTGTGTCCCAGCAGTGAGGATAACTAAAAAGAGCACGGATAAATATTAATAATGTAACGGAAGTATAAAAAAACAGTTATATTATTAAAAACTAACTGAAAGAAAGAAAAAAAGGTATAGGTAAAAAGATATGGTCCAGTCAATTGCCACAATATGGACGAACTTTGTCAAGTTGATTCGGTAATTATAAATTCGATGACACCCACATTCCATCTGTTTGTAATCCATTCATTTCATCCTCAATTAAAACTGCTATTATTTATTTTTATTTAGTGTCATATATTCGGTTTGCTGAATATGGTTGACAACTATGAATCACAAGTTATTATCGTGTTTGAATAATTCAGTTACCATTGTTGAATCACAAATTCTTTGAATACGTACCGAAATAGATACTCGATGAAATAATTTTTAGTTCCGTTACATTCTCGGTTTCGTCGTTCTAGTATAACGTAAATCCTATATATTATGTCATCGATTTCACAATGTACGTATGTACATCCATTGTTAAATAAGATAACAAGTAGCAAAAAATGCACATGATTAAGAGAACCTAAAATAATTAACTCGACAAAACGCCGACAATCGTATATCGGTTACATGTTTGTATACACAACTTATTTATACTGCTATACATAATGTAATGGGTATTATTAACTGAAATGGACATTATAAACCTGTCTAAGAAACTTTTTAATCCACTTAAAAGCTTCTATAGGATTCAGAAATTCATGCGGTTAGTGTTGCGGGAGGTGGTTTCTTTACGATATTTACCGTTCTACTAGACTATTATGTAATATATATTCCTATAATCAATCGAGAGCTTGAATGTTCATTTTCGAATGAATACCATCGATAACGTACAACATATTGTTTTAATCATATCGTATTTTATTTGCATTCGCATTATTATGTATCACGAAAAATATCAGAAAGCCACCCCATTTTAGCGTTGTTATGACAACAGAGCAATATTCGATTAAATATTACACACTACCGATAATTGTAATCAGACGGTGTCTGCTGGTAACACAATAACTGGCTCTTCGATTCAATCGAGCATCTGTTCGGATATAATGATAAATCGACGTTTATTTGTCGGCGTTCGTCAATCTGAATGCCATACCCGTGAGTCATTGCAATGTTTTAACTGTAACAGCTGCTTTCGATCTGTCTGTCTGGGTGATATTCTCTCCTTTTGTTTCGTCTGTTGCAAGGGCACCGGAAATGTTTGAATAAGTTAATTTTAACAGTGTTTTTTCCAAATTAGACGTCTTTGGTATTATTTGTGTGAACACTCATGTTGCCGGAAAGATAACATTCAATTAAGTCATTGTTAACGGTCTGATATTTTTAGATATTCATTAGTGGTAAGGATTTTATAGGATGATTAATGTACTTGTTATTCAATCGAGCCAGAGATTTGTGATGATTATTCAATGTACTTATTTCATTGTGGTAAATGAAGGCACATCAAATCCTTAATCTCGGATACATTGGTTGATTTGAAGCATCCACCAAAACGCTTTAGAACTATGTGGTTCGCCCTGTGTTTCTATCTACGAGAGAAGACTGTGCCTAGTGATGTGGACTGTGGCTATCGAGAGGCTGATGATGATCTCTTCTCATTAAATTGAAATAGACAAAAGACTGCATACTCCTTGTAGATCTGAACGGTTTATAAATAAATTTGTTTAACGTAGATATTTCTGCTTACATGTTTACATAACACCATTGCTTCGCATATCATTAAATTGTATAACAAAAAAAGCAGTAGGAATGAAACGGAGTACTTTATATAACATTGGATCTTCGAAGTGTGTCATAAAACTTGACCTTACACTTTGATAACACAGCTATCTTTATATTTTAAGTTGAAATTGACGCTTTTAATTTTCACTAATTTATTTTTTTCCGCTCGAACTAGAATAGAATACGGAGTTGTTTATAAAAACTTTAAAGTAAGAAATAAATAAGACGTGAATAAAGACGCAGTTAACAATCTTATACGCGAACTGTATGCACCGGAAGCTTCACCCATTGTTGCGTACAATAAATACTGTTATTGCAGGACAGAGACGGAAGACGTTAGTAAAAAATAAGTCGTCTCTCTCTTACTTATGAATTGTACACGTTAAGAGCTTAAAACAAGCCATTGAATTGAAAGACTCTTTCTTCGTAAAGACTTGAATGACGACAAATGCCGGGATGCGTGAATGACATCTCGTTCATTCATTGTGGCCTTATACTGAGATAACTCTACAATGCTAACTGTAGTAGAGAGGTAATATAGATAACTCGTGCACGCTTTGTGTTTAATGACAAAATTGTATACTAACTTCAAGGTATTTGATATGAAACAGAGGTTACCAATGTAATGTTAGAAGAAGAAGGAAAGAGCATTTTGATGATATTTCCTATGAAGAGGATAAAACTATCAAATATATAACAGGCTAATTGGAAACATTTGAAATAAAACACGGCAATATAAATTTTACTATTTTACTAGTGGTGGCACTGCTATATGACGGACTCACCAACGCAAGTAGATTTTGAAACGCGGATGTGCATAAACCGATGCCCATATGGCGACCTCCAACGACCTCAATACCATATCCTACGCATGCCGATGCGGACGGTTTAGTCATGCTACCAATTATGCAACAAGGGCTTGCCCCTAACTTTAGAAGAATCACTCATATAAATTTCACGATTTGCATAATAATCTATCTTCATTGAAGTTGTTATTGAAGAAGTTGAATTTTATTTTACATTCCTGAGCAACCGCTCGAAATGAAATTGGAGGCTATGCGTTCTAGAGAAACTTCAAATTGGACTTTCTTTGAATACGATATCGACTTTTGCGGAAGCATTCAAGCGTTTTCGAATTTGCCTTTTCAGCCATTGAAATATGGTCATTAGTGAAAAAAGATAGATAGATCCACTTCAAAACTGTATGATGTGAATTACGAAGAAGTTACTGATAACCTTAAACTTATTTGCTGTTGTCATCACTCGTCTGTCATGCTCTCTTGTGTTATCTCTAGTTCTTACTACTTATTTATACATTGCACACACATCGAATAATATGTGTAAACCTAATATACACTACTGTTTTATAATCTAAACGACTCTCGCTTTCGTTGTATTGAAAGTATTCGCCGTATTGTATTTACGCGGAATCGTTGGTCACTCTTCATCGTTGCCTTTTTTGGTACTTGGTAATTTACTCAACCTATTCTGCATACACATTTGCGTACGGTGTACTGGCACGTCCATTCATTTCAACGATATAATGGTCAAATATTTCTTCCCATGCATTTCTTGCACTGCTTATGTAATGATTACACATATGATTATTAATCTAAACAATATCCAAATCTGTATTGTTTATTATTTGTTTGTTATTTGCAATCACCACTTGTGTTGTTCATTGTTTTAATAATTTGTTAACGTTTATCCGTCTTGTCATCGGGAAAGATGAGTTAACTTCTAAGAGACAACCGAGCTATTAAGATTCCCAAATAACTCTTTTCAACCAACTGTACATCATAGTTATAA